AATTCATTATTTGGTCACTGAAAAAAAGAAGCTACCAAACAAAACAAATAGAGAAAAACGCAAGAGCAGTACAATTGTCATGCTTTCCTAATCGAACCGATTGTGTCTCGCGGATCACGCTCCCCGAAATCTACTCTCTCACATGGAGAATGACCTCGGCTTCCAGGTTAGCTGTGTAAAAACGTCCAAAATGCCTCAGATTGGAAACCGTACAAGACGAGTTGTAACCGGATTAATTGACAGTTCTGATCAATTGTCTGTTGTTCTAAATCAAAAATTTCACACACACAAATGCAATCACATATGACAGAAGCATGCACCAAGCACTTCGACGCTGGTAGTCGTATAGTTCTTTACTTTTCACCCCGTATACTGATAGTTGCTTTGAGTGCTTAAACTTTTGTATCACAATTTGATTCACACAACGGTCTGAATTCAGACCGCTGTGATTATACTTCAGTGTGGAATTTTTCAGCGTGTGAAACACAAATCAATTCGAGAGTCTGGTCCGCTAATAAAGCATGCTATATGGGGCTTTCTCGTGCACGATGCATCACCACTAACGGGTCACATTTGAAACGCCATGAATGCAACGAGGTTTTCTGCACCGAATGAGAACGGATGACATAAAAACGATATTGATAGCAATCTTTATGACAAAAGAAAAATCGTGGACCAAAGGGGGATCAATCGACCCCCACGAACATTGATTTTGATTATGATTATCAGTCAGGTGATATGAAAAGGACGGTTGATTTTTGTTTAACTCGCCTCTCGAGGAATCTCGATGACCAATTCAGATCAACGACCGCGGAAAAGCGAGAGACAGAGAAAGAAAAAACGGTCCGAATTACAGATCAACGAAGGCTACTATTTCATCAACCCGAACCTAGTGCACATACCGTATGGTTCACTTGATAAAACTGGTTGTAGTTTGGTCGGGAAGTGATATTATTGCATTCATCGTACACTGACCTGAGCTTGAACCAGCAGCAGTTCACGATTTATTTCCATTTGTACAAAACTCCTGGGGTAACGGGATAATCGCTATGGATGATGGTGATGTAAAATGGCACGTGATTTGGTTTCTTGCCAATACAGAACGTTATATGAGATCTAACACCAATCAAAGAATATAGAAATAAACTAGCATCTTTCATCATGCGAACAACCCATTTATAGCGACAGGAATTTTCCGTGATTAGCTTTTTAGATGCGAACCTTCAGACCGGAATCTAAACGTACCGTGATAGCAAGCGCAATTGTGAGCGACGCAAACGCGTAGCCCAAAAACATCAATTTTCGGTGTCGTGCAAAATCCGGACCCACCGATGTGCGTGCCTTACAGCGTGGACATATCACAGCCGAGTTCAGCACGGTACTGTTCGTGATGAAGAAGTGTTGATAGCAAGCTCCGCAGCGTAATTCCATTGGACGAGTGCCCTGTTTCTGTACGATTTCGATATCTAAAGTGAGGCATGGGCGGAGGGCGGGTGCTATCTGGGTGAGTCCGTTCATACACTTTGGGTCATCCATGCATTTATGGTACTGTGTATGATTAGTGTAGCTGTTAACTCGATTGGATATAGCAAGTTTTATCGTCAGAACACAGTTACAAGGACACACCCGAGAATCGACATCAGCTGAAGCAGGCAGTAGCATCATCAATATTGAAGAGCATAACATGTAATATAATCAGATGAAAAACATTCGAATCTACTCATTCCTTGACTGCTTTGTGAAAACTGAATTGTATCAACCCAGTTGGCACTTATCAGCTGTGTCTCGGTGTTCGAACAGCGCTGTCTACGTAGCATTGCACGAATCTGTTGGGGTAACCGGACGAGCAATGCCAAGGTTAGGCGTAGAGTTTTGGACAATCGAAGTCGTCCATTGGAGCAAGTGATTGGTCTCTATAGATTACGTTGTTTGGGGCATGCTTTACGCATTTCACCAAAGAGGTTGTCACGGTGACCGATGTTTGCCACAGGTAGCGGTTGGAAAAATGTCAAGGGTGGTATGAAAACCCTAACCAGGAGACTAGGTCACATAGGTCCCGTTACGCTCCCTGTCTGGGGACCTCGGGGTGATCGTAATCGATGGTTAGAGACACTGAGTGATATGGTTGGGTGTCGCAACTTGCGGCTCTCGTGCATCCATTCGTTATTCCCCTAATACCATTCTATTTGAATTCTCCATCTTCTGCTTGAATTTTCTTTCAACATTCCAATGTTCTATTCAAATGCGGCGCCAAAAGACAGCAACTAAAACCTGCGCACGAAAGTGTATGGTTAATGGTTGTAAATACTGATACTGATACTGTGTGTCCAATGAACCGATTTTATATTGGTACTCGTGACCGCGAGCTGATGAATCCAATGTGCTTACCACGTCCGGCTGGCTTTCAACAAACTTCCCACACGTAAACCCCGTCGGCATATGTGGCCTCTTTTGTTTATGTAGCTGGACGGGACTGACTATACCAGTGACTTCTGGACCCGGATCCTGGACGAGTAATCTGCACTTGATTTATTGCACACGATTAGCTGTCTGATGGAGTCAAAACATCAGTCACACGAACAGGGCACAGTCTGCTACAGGTGAAGCTGTACGAAAAAGATGTAGAACAACTCAAAATGTACATGAGGGACACAACAGAATGGGAGACAACTGAATTATTCTTGTTTTCCTTTCCCCATATACTCACCCCCTCCAAAATCCCACTGGCTATGTTCACTGTCTTCGAGGTTGCACCAGGTCTGCTCCAAACCAGTTGATAGATTGAGAATCAACGACACACAGGTGGAGATTAGTAACGGTTGGAAAGAATTAGGCCCTACGGGCATTACGCGTGCCAACTTTGGCATAGGCTATGAGAAAAATTGCCCATACGCCTCAAAGTAGATACTCACATAATCGATTGTAGTGCTGAAAACGCTGCTCAGTTCCAAATGATGTTGTAGGCAACCCTGCGCCCATTTGATACCTTTCAACAATAGAGTAGCAATGTTGACACCATACACCATTCACTAGACAAATTTTCCTTGAATAATTACCTGCTTCAACATATTTTTTATGGATTAACAAATAACACACCCAAAAAAGGAGCTGTGGATATGAAAAAGTGGAGGTTTCAATCGAAGGAGGTCGGACAACAATCGATTCTCCCCACAAGTAGGGGACCTGCTCAGTGTTTCAAACTTCAAAGAGCAGAACATGTAGGTCTCTAACTCTCTGTCTATAGGATCGCACTATGGAAATGTTTGCTGAGGAACGGAGTACCTGAGAAGTATGTGTCGATCCTCAAAGAGTTGTATCGTCATACCTCAGGTCGGGTTAGGGCCTATGGCCAACTTTTGTCACACTTCAC